CCCCAAAAAAATCCCAAAAAATTCAAAAAAAATCCCCCAAAAAATTCCCCAAATATTCCCAAAAAAATTCACAAAAAATTCCCCAAAAATTCAGTGCGACATCTCCGAGCCCAAAAATCCCAGACTGGTGGGGCAGGTCAGGAAAAAAACACCCAAAAGATTCCCAAAAAAATTCCCAGAAAATTCACCAAAAATCCCAAAAAAATAAAAAAAAATTCCCCAAAAAATTCCCAAAAAATTCCCCCCAAAAAATTCCCCAAAAATTCCCCCAAAAAATTCCCCCAAAAAATCAAAAAAATTCCCCCAAAATTAAAAAAAAATTCCCAAAAAAATCCCCAAAAATTCAGTACGACATCTCCGAGCCCAAAAATCCCAGACTGGTGGGGCAGGTCAGGAAAAAAACACCCAAAAGATTCCCAAAAAATCCCAAAAAATTCCCCCCAAATATTCCCCAAATATTCCCCAAATGTCCCAAAAAAAATCCCAAAAAATCCAAAAAAATTCCCCCAAAAAATTCCCAAATATTCCCCCAAAAATTCCCAAAAAAATCCCAAAAAATCCAAAAAAATTCCCCAAAAAAATCCCAAATATTCCCCCAAAAAATTCCCAAATACTCCCCCAAAAATTCAGTACGACATCTCCGAGCCCAAAAATCCCAGACTGGTGGGGCAGGTCAGGAAAAAAACACCCAAAAGATTCCCAAAAAAATTCCCAAAAAATTCCCAAAAACCCCAAAAAAATTCCCAAAAAAATTCCCAAAAACACCCAAAAGATTCCCAAAAAAATTCCCAGAAAATTCACCAAAAATCCCAAAAAAATAAAAAAAAATTCCCCAAAAAATTCCCAAAAAATTCAAAAAAAATCCCCCAAAAAATTCCCCAAATATTCCCAAAAAAATTCACAAAAAAATCCCCAAAAATTCAGTACGACATCTCCGACCCCAAAAATCCCAGAGTGGTGGGGCAGGTCAGGAAAAAAACACCCAAGAGATTCCCAAAAAATCCAAAAAATTCACCAAAAATCACCCAAAAATTCCCCAAAAAATCAAAAAAAAATTCCCAAAAAATCCAAAAAAATTCCCAAAAATTCCCCCAAAATCCCCCAAAAATTCACAAAAAAATTCCCCCCAAAAATCCCCAAATATTCCCCAAATATTCCCCAAATATCCCAAAAAAAATCCCAAAAAATTCAAAAAAAATCCCCCAAAAAATTCCCCAAATATTCCCAAAAAAATTCACAAAAAATTCCCCAAAAATTCAGTACGATATCTCCGACCCCAAAAATCCCAGACTGGTGGGACAGGTCAGGAAAAAAACACCCAAAAGATTCCCAAAAAATCCAAAAAAAATTCCCAAAAAAATTCCCCAAAAAATTCCCAAAAAATCCAAAGAAAATTCCCAAAAAATCCAAAAAAATTCCCAAAAATTCCCCCAAAATCCCCCAAAAATTCACAAAAAAATTCACAAAAAAATCCCCAAATATTCCCCAAATATTCCCCAAATATCCCCAAAAAAATCCCAAAAAATTCAAAAAAAATCCCCCAAAAAATTCCCCAAATATTCCCAAAAAAATTCACAAAAAATTCCCCAAAAATTCAGTACGATATCTCCGACCCCAAAAATCCCAGACTGGTGGGACAGGTCAGGAAAAAAACACCCAAAAGATTCCCAAAAAATCCAAAAAAAATTCCCAAAAAAATTCCCCAAAAAATTCCCAAAAAATCCAAAGAAAATTCCCAAAAAATCCAAAAAAATTCCCAAAAATTCCCCCAAAATCCCCCAAAAATTCACAAAAAAATTCACAAAAAAATCCCCAAATATTCCCCAAATATCCCCAAAAAAATCCCAAAAAATTCAAAAAAATTCCCCCAAAAAATTCCCCAAATATTCCCAAAAAAATTCACAAAAAATCCCAAAAAATCCAAAAAAATTCCCCAAAAAAATCCAAAAAAATTCCCCAAAAAAACCAAAAAAATTCCCCAAAAATTCAGTACGACATCTCCGACCCCAAAAATCCCAGACTGGTGGGGCAGGTCAGGAAAAAAACACCCAAAAGATTCCCAAAAAATCCAAAAAATTCCCAAAAAATCAAAAAAAAATTCAAAAAAAAATTCCCCAAAAAATTCCCAAAAAATCAAAAAAAAATCCCCCAAAAAATTCCCAAATATTCCCCAAATATTCCCCAAATATCCCAAAAAAAATCCAAAAAAATCCAAAAAAATTCCCCCAAAAAATTCCCATATATTCCCCCAAAAATTCCCAAAAAAATCCCAAAAAATCCAAAAAAATTCCCCAAAAAAATCCCAAATATTCCCCCAAAAAATTCCCAAATACTCCCCCAAAAATTCAGTACGACATCTCCGACCCCAAAAATCCCAGACTGGTGGGGCAGGTCAGGAAAAAAACACCCAAAAGATTCCCAAAAAATCCCAAAAAATTCCCAAAAAAATTCCCAAAAAATCCAAAAAAAATTCCCAAAAAAATTCCCCAAAAAATTCCCAAAAACCCCAAAAAAATTCCCAAAAAAATTCCCCAAAAATCACCCAAAAATTCCCAAAAAAAACCCCAAAAAATTCCCCAAATATCCCCCCAAAAAATTCCCAAAAATTCCCAAAAACCCCCCAAAAATTCCCCAAATATTCCCTTAAAAATTCCTAAAAAATTCCCAAAAATTCCCCAAATATCCCCCCAAAAAATTCCCAGAAATTCCCAAAAACCCCCCAAAAATTCCCCAAATATCCCCAAAAAAATTCCCAAAAATTCCCAAAAATTCCCAAAAAATCCAAAAAAAATCCCCCAAAAATTCCCCAAAACCCCCTAAAAATTCCCAAAAAATTTTCAAAAATTCCCCAAAAATTCCCAAAAAATTCTCCAAATATTCCCCAAAAAAATTCCCAAAAATTCCCCAAAAAATCCCAAAAAAATTCCCCAAAAATCCCCAAATATTCCCCTAAAAATTCCCAAAAAATTCCCAAAAATTCCCCAAAAAATCCCAAAAAAATCCCCCAAAAATCCCCAAAAACCCCCTAAAAATTCCCAAGAAATTCCCAAAAATTCCCCAAATATTCCCCTAAAAATTCCAAAAAAATTCCCAAAAATTCCCCAAATATCCCCAAAAAATTCCAAAAAATCCCAAAAAAATTCCCCAAATATTCCCCAAAAAAATCCCAAAAAATTCCCAAAAATTCCCCAAAAAATCCCAAAAAATTCCCCCAAAAATCCCCAAAAACCCCAAAAAATTCCCAAAAAACCCCAAAAAATTCCCCAAATATCCCCAAAAAAATTCCCAAAAATTCCCGCCCCATTCCCGTGTTTTCCCTGGGATTAATTTGATTTTTCCCAGGTTTTTCTGGGAGGCAGCCTCTGCAAAGGGGGAGCAGTGACGGTGCTGGAAGATCGGGAATTGCGGGAACAGCCGGAGCCCTTCGTCATCCAGGTGATTCCCAAATATTTTTATTTTTTTTCCCATTATTTTTCCCAGATTTTTGGGAATTTTTCCTCCCCCACATCCAAAGGGAAATCCACCTGGGTTTTCCTCATTTAGGGATGAGTTTCATCCCCAAAAAAATGGGAATTTTCCCTCGGGGAGGGGAAAACAAAATCATTTTCCAGGTGGGATTTTCCATCTGGGATGATTGATTGATTGATTGATTGATTGATTTCCTGTGGGATGATTGATTGATTGATTGATGGATTGATTTCCTGTGGGATGATTGATTGATGGATTGATTGATTGATTTCCTGTGGGATGATTGATTGATTGATTGACTGATTGATTTTCTGTGGGATGATTGATTGATTTCCTGTGGGATGATTGATTGATGGATTGATTGATTGATTGATTGATTGATTGATTTCCTGTGGGATGATAGATTGATTGATTGATTGATTGATTTCCTGTGGGATGATTGATTGATTTCCTGTGGGATGATTGATTTTCTGTGGGATGATTGATTGGTTTCCTGTGGAATGATTGATTGATTGATTGATTGGTTGATTTCCTGTGGGATGATTGATTGATTGATTGATTGATTTCCTGTGGGATGATTGATTGATGGATTGATTGATTGATTGATTGATTGGTTTCCTGTGGGATGATTGATGGATTGATTGATTGATTGATTTCCTGTGGGATGATTGATTGATTGATTGATTGATTTCCTGTGGGATGATTGATTTCCTGTGGGATGATTGATTGATTGATTGATTGATTGATTTCCTGTGGGATGATTGATTGATGGATTGATTGATTGATTGATTGATTGATTTCCTGTGGGATGATTGATGGATTGATTGATTGATTGATTTCCTGTGGGATGATTGATTGATTGATTGATTGATTTTCTGTGGGATGATTGATTGATTTCCTGTGGGATGATTGATTGATGGATTGATTGATTGATTTCCTGTGGGATGATTGATTGATTGATGGATTGATTGATTGATTTCCTGTGGGATGATTGATTGATTGATTGATTGATTTCCTGTGGGATGATTGATTGATTGATGGATTGATTGATTGGTTTCCTGTGGGATGATTGATTGATGGATTGATGGATTGATTGATTGATTTCCTGTGGGATGATTGATTGATTGATTGATGGATTGATTGATTTCCTGTGGGATGATTGATTGATTGATTGATGGATTGGTTTCCTGTGGGTTGATTGATTGATGTATTGATTGATTGATTTCCTGTGGGATGATTGATTGATTGATGGATTGATTGATTGATTTCCTGTGGGATGATTGATTGATTGATTGATTGATTGGTTTCCTGTGGGATGATTGATTGATTTCCTGTGGGATGATTGATTGATGGATTGATTGATTGATTGGTTTCCTGTGGGATGGTTGATTGATTGATTGATTGATTGATTGATTGATTTCCTGTGGGATGATTGATAGATGGATTGATTGATTGATTGGTTTCCTGTGGGTTCCCAGGGCAGGAAGGTGCCGGGGGGGCCGCAGATGCTGCAGCTGAGCCTGGACGGGCGGCGGCTCTACGTGAGCACCTCCCTGTACAGCGCCTGGGACCGGCTCTTCTACCCCGAGCTGCTCAGGTCAGAGCCCACATCAGCAAGAATTCATCATTAATCATTAATCATTACATTAATAATTAATTAATAATGATTAATAATTAATGATTAATATACTAATAACATCTTATAACTGCTGTACTAGTAACTTTCCCATTCCAAAATCCCTTCTCCCAATCCCAAACCCTTCTCCCAAGCCATTTTCCCAACCTCTTTTCCCAATCCCAAACCCTTCTCCCAAATCCCCTTTCCCAGCCCCAAACATTTATCCCAATCCCAAATCCTTCAAACCCTTCTCCCAATCCCAAATCCCATTTCCCAATCCCAAATCCCATTTCCCAATCCCAAACCCTTCTCCCAACCCCAAATCCTTCTCCCAATCCCAAACCCTTCAAACCCTTCTCCCAATCCCAAATCCCATTCCCCAATCCCAAACCCTTCTCCCAATCCCAAATCCTTTCCCAATCCCAAACCCTTTTCCCAAATCCCAAATCCTTTCCCAATCCCAAGTCCTTTTCCCAATCCCAAATCCTTTTCCCAAATCCCCTTTCCCAGCTCCAAACATTTATCCCAATCCCAAATCCCATTCCCCAATCCCAATCCCTTCTCCCAATCCCAAACTCTTTTCCCAAATCCTTTCCCCATCCCAAATCCTTCAAACCCTTCTCCCAACCCCAAATCTCTTCTCCCAATCCCAAAATCTTTTCCCAAGCCATTTTCCCAAATCCAATCCCAACCCCTTCAAACCCTTCTCCCAATCCCAAATCCTTCTCCCAATCCCAAAATCTTTTCCCAATCCCAAATCCTTTCCCAATCCCAAACCCTTTTCCCAAATCTCTTCCCAGTTCCTTTCCCAAATCCCAAATCCTTCTCCCAATCCCAAATCCTTTCCCAATCCCAAACCCTTTCCCAATCCCAAATCCCGTTTCCCATCCCCAAACATTTATCCCAATCCCAAACCCTTTTTCCCAATCCCAAACCCTTTTTCCCAATCCCAAACCCTTTTCCCAAATCCCAAATCCCAAATCCCAATCCCAAATCCTTCTCCCAATCCCAAATCCCTTCTCAGTTCCTTTCCCAATCCCAAATCCTTCTCCCAATCCCAAATCCTTTCCCAATCCCAAACCCTTTTCCCAAATCCCGTTTCCCATCCCCAAACATTTATCCCAATCCCAAACCATTTTCCCAAATCTCTTCCCAGTTCCTTTCCCAATCCCAAGCCCTTCTCCCAATCCCAAACCCTTTTCCCAAATCCCAAATCCTTTTCCCAAATCCCAAATCCTTTCCCAATCCCAAATCCTTTTCCCAAATCTCTTCCCAGTTCCTTTCCCAAATCCCAAACCCTTTTCCCAAATCCCAAACCCTTCTCCCAATCCCAAATCCCTTCCCAATCCCAAACCCTTCTTCCAAATCCCAAATCCATTCCCAATCCCAAGCCCTTCTCCCAATCCCAAACCCTTTTCCCAAATCCCGTTTCCCAGCCCCAAACATTTATCCCAATCCCAAATCCCATTCCCCAATCCCAAATCCCATTTCCCAATCCCAAATCCCATTCCCCAATCCCAAACCCTTTTCCCAATCCCAAATCCTTTTCCCAGTCCCAAACCCTTCTCCCAAATCCCGTTTCCCACCCCCAAACATTTATCCCAATCCCAAACCATTTTCCCAACCCTTCTCCCTCCCCTTTTCCCAACCCTTTTTCCCCATTCCCATTCCCATTCCCATTCCCATTCCCGTTCCCGTTCCCATTCCCGTTCCCATTCCCATTCCCATTCCCCATTCCCATCCCATTCCCGTTCCCGTTCCCAGGGAGGGCTCGGTGCTGCTGCAGCTGGACGTGGACACGGA